TAAACAAGCAGAAAGAACACCAGCAAGTTGATGAATTAGATAGATAGATAGATAGATCAGAATCAAGATACCAAAATGACTATTTTTTAGCATCAGTAGCCTGCAGAGTAGCTAGACTGTGGCCAGAGGAAAAGTAGAAATAGAAATAGCTGAATCTTTGATAATTAGCTAGATTAATTACTCATTTATTGAGTGCCACACTTAATTTCACAGGTAGATTTGCCAGGTTTCATAATAGGACAGAGCTCCTGTCTCTTATGAATCCTGCCAACCCTGTTCACATGTGATGCAATGAAATCTGTTGGCTTTTGCTTCATTTTCTAAACTGACTTGGATACATCATTTCTTCCAAAAGGATTTGAAGCCAAAAAACCCCACACCTTCTTATTATAAATAATGAACAAATAAATAGATTTAGATTCTCTTGACCATCTCACATAACAATTCAGAGAGAATACTCAATGTACAGGCCATTGAAGAAAGAATTGGTTGGTTTGCATTTTGTTTTCACTTGTTGGGGGGATTTTTAAATATCCTTTGCAATGTATGGTTTAATTCAGCATATACCTTCACACTGCAAAGGGCCCTTCAGTGCATGCTTAACTATATTGCAAAGGATTCTGGGACACACTTTAGTCTGCTACAACCCTCCCTCCTGTCATTCCCAAATTGGCATGTTGTGTGGTCCAGGAGTGTTGAGTCAAGTGTTACTTGGAGCCTACTGAAATTTGGACTAAATTTTTCTAGCACTCCCCTGCAGCTGGTCATTGCAGGAGAGAATCACTAATGGTGAACAATCTGTCTTTTGGCAGCTCGCCTCTCTTTGCAGAACTTCAGCTGGATGGATTCCTGAGGTTCCTGGGAATACAGCTTATTCTGTACTTAACGGACTGTTTTGCTATTTATTTTCAAACTTGGCTGGCAACTTTGATGTCCTGCCCTGCAGCTTAGATTTATTTATTGGTTATGACTGTTTTCTGTTCTGCCCAAACACTTTATGGAGTGTTCTCTACTGTTTTCTGCTGCCGGCATTGTCTGTACTTATTTCTCTGAATAAACCTACAATAAGACTCAGATTAGTTACAAATCCTGTTGTGGGGAAAAGGTGGGACTGTGTGATCTTCAGTGTACAATGGCTTGTCACGTGGACTGAGCCATTTTCGCCATGCATCCAAGGCTTCCACTGTGTACGTTTGCAAGGGTGTGAAGAAACACAATTTACTTGGCTGGCATCAAAAGGCTATTTTGGTGATTACTTTGCCAAGATCAATATTGCAGGTGGGGGGGGGAGAATTATGCTTCTCCTCTGGCTCTATCTGTCTGTCTGTCTGTCTGCCTGTCTCAATCTTGCTCTCCAAACATGCCAGCAGAGAGAAGAGAGATAAAATGGAGCAGCATCCTCCATGTGTTTTGCATTCTCCTTCTGGCAATTGTGTGGATTGGGCCCAACAAGAAAGAGCAAGTGAATGGGTAGAGGTGGCTGCAGTGAAGGGGAAGTGGGTCTACTCAGAGAGGAGAGCCAGGGATAGCATTTTATCCAAGAACAGTCCCCTCCTTAACAAAAAAATGATTGAAGAGAGCACTAATCATTCAAAACTTGAGATGAAATGCTGTGTGCAAACACTGTGTCACATGAAAGAAATACCCCATAAAATGATCTACAGCAACATTTCCCAAACATTTCTCCATTTTATTTCACAATGCATTAGTACCATATTTGTGCCATTTTATTATTGCATCATTATCATTATTGCGTGATAATTGTTGTATGTTGTTGTTTTACTGTATGTAGAGACCCAGTGGGTTTGAGTGCTAGACTAAGGGCCTTTACAGACTGCCAGAAATAATGCATCTTGAGTCCACTTTAACTGCCCTAGCTCAGTGCTAGGAAATCATGGGAACTGTAGGTTTTTTTTATGGGACATTGAGCCTTCTCTGTCAGAGAGCTCTGGTGCCACAATAAACTACAGTTCCCATGATTCCTTAGCACTGAGCCAGGACAGTTAGAATGGCCTCAAGCTGCACTATTTCTGGCAGTCTGTAAAGACCTTTTGTTTGCCAGGGATAAGAATTAGGCCCCTTTCACCTTTAATTAGTTAATGTAATTTTAATATATGGATTTAGGAGAGAACAGAAAGCTAAATTCCTTGAAGTGGGTTTTATACTATTTATCTGTATTTATTTTGCATTTTTGTTCAGGGCTTGATGATTGCCTTCAACAGCTGCTGAGCAGTAAGATTTCTGCCCACAAGTCCTCCACTGGTGCCTTGTGGGACACATGCAACTTTGGGAGATTGTATGTGCACTGGATTCAGTATAAAATATATCATTATTGGTTTCATGGCTTAAAGAAAAAGTTCTGCAAAATGTTTAAACAATTGTCTTTGCCATATCCATGAATAAGTGGTCCCATAGAACCCATGGAAGTGGTACATTAGTGACCAACAGATTGCAGACTGAGGGCTTCATGGAGATGGGATGATGCAAGAGACAGTCAATGCACCAATCTGGCTTTCCTAAGACCACCAAAATTGGGCACAGGGGGCCTGCAGGTGTCCTTATCAAAGAGGATGGGATCGAAAGGGCCAGAGAAACACAGTCTGGCTCCTTTCCTCCCCCCACCACTGCCTGGGTCTGATGCTGTCACTTTAACAACCTCTCCATTGGGGTTGGGCTTTGTTTCCAAAGCGACCTTGTTCAGCCTTTTCTGGGCCCCCTGAAATACTGCAAGCACCAGAGAAATGCTTGTCTTTTGTGGCAGGGCAGCATTTGCTCCCTTTGCACTGTTTCCCAGAAATATCCACCTTTTAAAAAAAAAAATCCTCTCCCACTCTGGTGCTTGTGTAAACAGACGCATATTTTTATGAGACAGATGAGACAGATTGACATCCTCCATAACTGGTAGCGACTTTAGAAAATCTACACATTTACAAAATACAGCCATTTACTTTCATAATGGGAAGCAACAGGAATATGCAACAGTTGCTGAACAGCAAAATTGCCAACAGACAACTCTGGTTCTCCTATGAGAGCAGTTCTTTTCAAAAGAAAGGGAGGAAAAAGTGAGAGTTCTGGAAACTGAATCCTAAACCAGAAGTAAAGAACTGCATTTGCTGTGCCAATAACATCATGTTGCTCTTTCAGTAATATTATGTATTGCCCTGGCTTAGTTCATCAGAATTCATGTCCCTTGCTGTAGTTCAGCATGTAAGAAGAAAAGGATCAAACCCTACAAACCCTACCTACCTGCCTATCCAAACTCACCGGTCCAAACTTAGGACCTTATCACACGGGGTCTAAAGCAGACCTAATCCAAAGGGTATCCGTAGCTAATACATATTATTTCCCCATGTTTACACACAACGTTGCACCGAAACTTGACAGAACCTGGAGCTAATCCGTAAAGAATTGAGATCTTTTGACATTCGGTTTTTTGGGGAAGTACAACTGAGCTTTCGGAATCATTGCACAATGGCTGCGCAGGCGAAATACATATGATCACGCAATATGTATTGTGAAGCATTTCCCCGCCCTGACCCATGGTTCCCCACTCTACTTCCCATGAATCTGTGAGGAAGCATCTTATGACGTGTCCGTCCTGTTTGGATTGGGCAACAAATGGGACGGGTAAACATGGTCCTCTCTTTGTAATTTATGGGATTTTCTAACTTGTGTGTGCACGGAGAATACGTTTCCAGGATGCATGTCCCGGGAAGCTCGATAATTGCGCTATGGCGGTAATTGCGTGTGGTAGGCATTTTAGTGGTGCCAAATGGCTGGGATCAGCTACAGAGTTTAGATGTTACAAGTCACACGCAACATCTTTAACTACAAATCATTACTTTTTGTAATAATGGCATAACAAAGTTATACTTTAAAAGCCAACATGATGAGTGGAAACAAAGTTGCTTCTCTAATGGGATGAGTAGCACTTTGTAAGACTTGTCTTTCAAATGACATTTTCATGCCTACTTAACAGTATTTACAGCTATTTCTTATCAAAAATTATAGCATTTGAAATCCTTTAATCAGACCCAAGGGATTCCCTGCCCTCATCCCAAAAAAGTAACAGGAAAAATAATGAGTAATATAATAGGTAGTATTTTGTTGTTTTTCCGACTCATGGTGACCCCATGGATGAGACATCTCCAAGACTCCCTATTTTCCACTACTCTGCTTAGGTCCTGCAAATTCATGCCCATCACCTCCTTAAGGGATCCATTCATCTAGCATGCAGTCTTCCTCTCTTTCTACATTCCTCCACCTTTCCTAGCATTATTGTCTTTTCCAATGAGTCATTCTCTCATGATGTGAGCAAACTATAGGGGGGTTGCAGACTGCCAGAAATAGTGTAAATTGAGTCCA